CCAGAACTTCATAAATTTCAGCAGAATCAGCCTATACAACCAATTTTAGTTTTACCAAACGGCCTCAAAAAGAATAAAAATATAATTAAATTTCTAACCTCTTTGAAGGACACAACGAATTAAAATCGCAACAACACTCAATAATTTTATCTAATTGAATTTGTTTTTTTTGTAGTGTGTTTAATATGATGTTGGAGGTATTTAAAGAGGTAAGAATTGTGGTTGGATAGTGAACCACCGCACAAAATAAATTGGAGGGTTGATATTTTTTTAATATGATCTAAGGGTTGAAAATAAGAAGAGGAAAGCACAATCCGCGTGGTATTCTTTTGGCCAATCAGAGAGCTGTTTCGTGGAGTTGATGGATGGAGTTGCAGGCCAAAAAATCGGATTACACAAATCCGAATTCTATGAAGCTGACATGCGTGCGTTTGGCCTACAATAAAGGAATCCGACTTCTTCATTTTGGATTAAAGGAATCCGACTTGCCTCTTTCTCTCACAATTAAATCACATTTTCGGATTCATGGAATCCGACTTTTGCTTCTGACAATTATGATCCGACATCTCTGTCGAAATTGGAAAACCCCACAAAAACCTACAAAAAGCCCTACAATAGTCGGATTAGCCAACCCCGTTTCCCGTAAATTCATACCCTAACTCTGACATTCGTATTTTGGGAATGGATGCATGGAATTCCCGTAAATTTGTCCTTTCCTCCGTCCCATTTATACCGAAGAGGGTGACATTGTTATTAACAAAAGTGGGTTTTTGTGGTTGATATTAATTGATAAAGTAAGAATGATTTATAGTCATACAAACTTTGCCAAATATAGTATGAGACAATTTAAGTGAGACTTCCCGAAAAGGTAAAGCGAGACAATATAAATGAGACGGAAGGAGTACATTAATAATAAAACCCAACATAGGTACATGGCGTACGTAGCAATACATACGAACTAAAAATCTTAAAAGTTATTTTAATTTTTAATATACGTAATTAAATCTTGAGTAAAAATATACTCCTGTTTTAGTATACCACCAATCAACTCCTGTTTCTTGGGCATATGTGAGTGCTATACTAGTCTGCTTGAAATTATTATGAGACAATTATCTAACTAGGAGTAAAAAGTGGACATTAATTAAAATTATGACTACGTTATTTTAATTTTCCTAGTAGGACAACTTATGTCTGTTTATTTGGACAAATATACTTTTGTAATTTTTGAAATGTTTTAATTCATAATAAAATATTTAAAAATAATAAAAATACGTAGTTGTAAAAAATTACTCCATATTAAAATATTTATAAAATAAAATTTAAAAAAAAAAGAAATTGATTTTTTAAGAATAAAAAAAAAGAAATACATTGCTGCCTTTGCCACCCCCTGCACCACCAGCTCCGATCATCGGAGAAAAAATGTCAACGAGCATTAGTAATGTCATATTTATGGCAATTTCAATGAAAATTTTGACATTATCAAGAGTAATACTACATCCTTTCCACTAACATTGAGACAAGAAGATGTCTCACGGTTATTAAGAAAAATGAGTTTATGTGGTTGATATTGAATTGATAAAGTAAGAATAAAGTAAGAATCATTTAGAACCACACAAACTTTATCAAATTTAGTATGGCCCAATCTTAGTGGAAATTTCCGAAAAGGTAAAATAAGACAATCTTATTGAGAAGTGGGGCGTATAATAATGTCATTTTACTTACATTTTAAGAAAAATGGCACCTTTTTCACCGATTAGAGGTGCTGGTTCTGGGAGGCGGTGGGAAAGGCACCCTTTTTATTCTATGGGATTTTATTTGTTTTAATTAATATTTTTATGAAAAAAAATTGTTTTTAGGGATTTTTATCTTATTAATATTTAATTAACTTTTATTACTTTTTACGATTTATTTATGAATTAAAATATTTCATTAGGAATTAATACCCTTAGGGTTATTTAGGTTAGAAAATTAGGGCTTGCTTTTTTTAATTAACTGACTCTAATATTTTTATGGTGACCGTCTCCCTACACTTCTTAGGGTTTTTTGTTCTGTCGAACTTCATTCGTGCGCCTTGGATCTTCATTCGTGTTTTAAACGTTTCACAATTTTAAAATACGGCATATATTACATGTGCTATATACTAATTTAATGATTAGAAGAAAGACTAATTCAGCATATGCACCACATTCTTCAACAGTTTAAAATGTACGAGATAGTTTTTTCAGATATATGACTTTGAATTCATATGTACAATAAGTAAAAAATGATATTGCCTACTCGTGTAGAAATAGATAGACATTTCTAGAGAATAGTTTAATTTATATTACTGTGGCCGTAAATTTGGTGAGCTGCCATAATATTCTCTTCTCTTTGGAGTCTTGGTATGAGTGGAGAACAAGAGTAAGACAATAGTAGTCCAATAGTAATATTGAAATGAATTATGACTTTAAGAAGATAATTTGTTAAATCAGATAACTATTAAACAATTAACGGACATATACGACATAACAATTTTTTAAGTAATATAAATAGTATTGAGCAACTACACATTTTGAGCAACTACACATTTCGCTTCAGTTTTACCACTCCATTAGGCTTCAGTTTAATATGGTGTTTTTAATAAAATACGTAACAATACGTACGGTGCGGGTATTATACATTTTGTCTTTAAAGCACGTGAATTTTTCAATATTTTCAGAAAAATTCATAAACATGAGTATTATACGAGAATTATACGTTCGAGTGTATCATACGTGAATTATACGCAAATAAACTATTTATAGGGTCTCTCAGTTATCCACGAAATTAAAATCTCAGACCTGTATTTCTGAGATTGTAAATGTCACCCCTCAATTGTCCAAAATACTGTAAATGTGGTCCTTTTGAGGGTGAAATATACATTGTGGGTGAGAGTACATTTCACTACTTAAAAGATAACATTTATACTAATTTGGACAATTGAGAGGTAACATTTACAATCTAAAAAATATAGGCCTGAGATTTTAATTTTGTGGATAACTGAGGGACCATGTATGCGATTTTTCCAATAAACTATCTAGGATTTTAAACATCGGATAATGTAGTACATAAATAAATGACTCTTCCACAGTTCCAGGGATAGTATTTATGTAATTTATTCGTTATTTAAATATTCTAATTTTTAGTTAATTTGGATTTTAAAGCGGTTTATGAAAAGCAACATTTGGCCATTTGTATGCATGTGAGAAGGTGTTAAACATAATCCATACATGGAGTTACATTCAAGAAGATTGAAAGAAATAGAAAAGATCAGATGAACTAACTAATTATTAATTATTGAGAAAAGGGTCAAATAAGTATTTCTACTGTTATGAAATCATCACATAAGGTCATGTACTCAATAAAATGACATATAAATAAGTCTACTTGTAAAAAACAATCGGATGAGTCCTAATGACCCGATGACATCCTCTTAATCCTGATTTTAACTTACTGTCAATTTTTTTGACTTGTATTTCAACCTATCTTAGGTAAATATTCAACGTGTGCCATATAATCTATTATAAAAAGATGGTTTCAAGAACTCAAAACTTTCTTGTAAACATTAATTTTCTACGAAACTTTTAATACTCCAAACTTAATTAATTTTAAAAAATGACTTATTTGATCCTATTAAAATATTAGCAAAACTAAAATATATTAAAAATATTAAATAATAAAAATAAAAAATTAAAAAAATAAAAACTTTAAAAAAATCATAAATAGATAAATGCAGACCTTTCCCTCAGCCTAGTCTGAAAACTAGAATTTATTTGCTGGTGATTTTCACTATTAAATAATGTCATTTAAGTTGTGCTTAAGATCAATCTAAATGATGTCATTTTCACAACTAAATAATGCACAATTTTATCTTTTTATGTTTTGATCATTACCTACCACTTGACGTGAGATATGTTTATAGATTTAATTCAATTGACCTTCCACTCTCACTTTAAATCCATACGTACGTATCCACTTACTTTACTTATAAATAAAGCACAATCTTCTAATTGAAATTGAATTATACAATAATTGCTTATTGAGTACAATTAATAAATTGCTATGGAGTACAACTTTTTAATCGTTTGCTGTTGAGTACAATGGAGTAATTAAATAATTGCTATTAAGTACCAAATTAATATGGAAACTAGTGTTTTACCCGGGCGTTGCCCCGGGCAGATATTGTGAATGTTTGAATATTTTCTAAGATATATATATTTCATATAATAAATAATTAATTAATGATTTTACTTCAAATAAACTTTTGTTGATTGTGAATAGTAATTTAATTATAAAAGAGACATTATAATGTAACACCTCACATACCAAATATCACATTGTTAGGCTTAAATTAGGTAACCTCTTTATAAACAACATTCACTTCAATATTAGAAGGCCTTAATGCAACATTTCATACTATGGAGTGCATGACGTGCACGTACTCATACTTGTTTAACTTTTTAACATAATTTTATAATTATATACTTCGTATTGCGCATAACTTATTTTGTATAGGGATGCAATTTTAAATTGTACAATTGCATTTATTCAACACCCTGGATATATCAAAACGACAAAACCTTCTATTAACATTTTTTTACAAAAGCTCTTTATAATTACAAAAATGTCACCCTATTTTGGACTTGAAAATTGATCTCCTCCGTCAATTTTGTTTGATATTAATGTATTATATAGACCAATTCTCATTTTGATCTAAGGTATACTTTTATTTGAACAGAATTCTTAGGTAAGTGCTATCACTAGTAGAAAACTGGCTTACAGTGACACTTTTGTAGTGACGCTTTTTGATATAAAAGCCATAATAACACAAAAGTGTCACTATTTACTAACACAAATACATCAGGCTCAAATAGTGACACTAAACATTTTTTACGAAAGGAATAAGGCCAGGCCGGCATCGATGGGCCGCTCGGCCCAGCTACTATACGTTCCACATATCCATACACTTAGCCGGTTAGTCCCATACATCAGCTCACCCCGTTCCACAGACTTGCTTCCAGAATCATCGATGGCCTCTCCCGTTTAACCCTATCCGCGCGAACGATTCTCCGGCCATCACCGGTTAGTTTCTCCATCGATCCTGCTCTCTCATCCCCCGGTTTCTTCGGTCTGCTGCGCATCTCATGGCCGGTTGGTCCTCGCATCTCACGGCCGGCTGATTCTCGCATCTCACGGTCGATTTTAGGTATGTACCTCCTCCTTTTGTAATCCTTCAAATTTACCATCTAATAATGAAATCCTTCCAATAATGCTCCCAGATTCTGTTTTTATTATGTTTTTCTTTCTTGTATGTTATGTTCCCCCCTTATAAAAGTAGTAGTCAACTTTTGTCTGTCTGAAATCAGTGTTGGATTTTTTTCTCTTGTTATTGCTATTTGTTTTGTTTTGTTTTTGGTCTGAAGTTTGAGATTGATATGAAATTCCACTGGAGCTTGAATATGGTCATACTCTCCACACTTCCTAACTTTATTGGGTAGGTTTTTTGTGGGGGACTGTGTTAAAAAAAGAACCAGATTTAGAACTTGTTCTGATATCAATATAAGAGCCTGCTGGGTATTCCTATTGGGCTTATTTTAAAAAAAATCCTTGTTGATGAATGTGAAACGGGTGATCTTCTATCGAAGAGATTAAAATAGAGTTCGTAGCACTTGCTTTAGATGAATGTGAAACTATCTTCTATACACTGCATATAGTGTATGCAAAAATATGAATCTGGCTTCTTTTTCTAGTGTATGCAAAATATCTTATACAACGGAATGAACCTGGCTTCTTTTTCTAGCACTCCAGGTAAAAAGCTAAAGTCTAAAGATATTTTCATCGTGTTATTATAGCTATTGCGATAGTTCGAAAATATGTGCTTAGATGATAATTTGTTACTATATGTTCAGACCATTGTATTTGTAATGTGCCAGTGTATTTCTAATGTTCCTAGATTTGGGATTAAACCGAAATATTTTAGTATTTCTATTTGTTGGTATACTCTAAGTATATGTCAGCTGAATTAAGTTTTTTGAGTAGGCTTTCAAGGTTAATTTGTTAAACCGGTTGCATTATGTTTCACCAAGACTCTGACATGGACATTGAGTTAATACTTCAGTGTCTAAAAGGATACTCATTTTTGAATGCATCTATGGTGTTTGATAAAATTCCTCAGGGAAGCAATGCAAAATTTAACTATTAATTTTTTTGAAATTTCAATTACTTTGGTTTTCAGTAGTGTTCTTAGCCTATCTTTCATTAGCAACAAGGTATGCAATAAGTTGTATTGCAATTTGAAGGGTTGTTATTTTTTAGTTTTTACTGTTTTGCATTACCTTCTTTATTCATAGTTGATACTTGATACTGTATTGTTGTAGCCCTGTCGGATAAACTGAAGTAAAAGCGTAAAACTTAGTCTAGCGGCTGTAGCCGACCTACTTGCTCCAACTGTTTCATTTGCCTTTCATCTACTATGCAATTTGTTACCTAATTGAGCTAGATAATTAAGTAAATAACCATACTTATTTTCCTTTAGTTTCATTCAAAAAATCGATAATAATGAAAACCATTAAGTTGGTTTCCCTTTTCTGTGGATCATCTCGTAAATACAGCAAGCTTAGGACATACATTCTACTTTGAGGAAGCCATGGACACTTTTATTTGACTATTTTAGGAAAATTGAATAGTTTACTTTTCATTTGGTAAGCATCCTGAAATGATTTTAGAAGATAAACTTACTGTTTTAGTAAGCTTTTTTTCTATTTTGTGGGACTTGCCTACCAAATTGTTGGGTTTCTTCTGGCAGCTGGGTATAAGGTAGTATTCCTTTTCATATACGTAGTATAAATTTCTGGTGTTGAACTTGTGAGTTGTGCATTACTTGTTTCATTGTTTTAGGGATTAGTGTTGCCAAAACATCCAAATTGAGATGTAAAGTGTTTCATTGCATCCGGTTTTTTCCATAGTAGTTTATTCCCACAATATTATGTTTGTTGCGCTTAAGTCTTTATTTCCTTCCTTAAACAAAGGGTTCATTGCTGCAAGTCTCCCAATCTTCCTCTTGTTTTTCTCATTGTTTGATCTGAGGCCAAAAATACCATATGAAATTGGCAGCTTTAATTTTAATTGGGCAATAGTAGTTTTATACTTCGTAATTTAGGTGGTGAATCTGGAAGTGACAATTACATTACACTTCAAATATTAAAAGTTAAAAAAAAAACTTTTTTCTTAACATGATCTTTTTGTTTAGTTAAAAACTTAATACTACATAGTTATTTTCATACAAGATATAATATTCAGCAACAAAGTTTATTATGTTTAAACTTTACACTTTATTTGATTAATGTAGTATTTTTTCCCAAGAAATTATTATTTTTGGGTATTATGTTGAAACCGAGTTGGCTGCCTAGTCGGCGACTAATCGGCGCCTAGTCTGCCTAGGCGCTAGGCGGTGCTTGGCCGCCCGACTAGCGCCTAGCGACTTTTAGAACATTGTTTGATATTTATTCACTAAATACACTGCAATATACTAAAATACTAAATACTTTTATAGCATATATTTTTCAGTACTGTAACCATCTTCACTTTGATATTTATTCACTACTACAATTTTTCAGAATTTTTTGGCGTATCAGGGACAAAAAAATAGCAGTGTAGAAATTGCAATAAAACTAATTCAGAAGGAACTTATTCGGATATGATATCAACAAGAAGGGCACCCCTCGAGGAACCATTAAAGTGTAAAGTCATTATCTTTTATACATTTTATTGGAAACATTATCACCATTTTGAATGGGTTTTATTTCTAGATAGGTGAATCAATATTGTTCTAATTGAAATTTGTCTTGCAATATGATACGGAATAGCATTCTGAATAATGATAATAAGATTTCGTTGTTCTCTTTTGCAGCCAGAGTCGCTGGGGATTGTTGTTGGGATTGTTTTCTTGATCGTGGCTATCTTGTTTCAATATTTTAACTTCACAGCGGATTCAACTGTATGTAAATTTTTCTTCTTTCATTTTCCCTTTGTTTAGCAAAAAAATAAAAATAAAGTAGAAGAAACTGAATGATATTCCGAAATGCTTGAATGATATTCTAAAGGCCATGGAAACTGGCAAATCTTCTGAAATAAGAGCCAAAGTTTCTCTCGATATAACGTCAGTTTTATTTATAACCGACGGTAAAACTACATTTTTATTAAAAAAATGATGCGGGCTACTTTTGAAATAAGAGCCAATTCTACTGTCTGTGGGCTTTGTGTGCTTATTTACTTTTGTTAGGGTTGTTAATAATGGACTTTGTGTGTTCATAATATATCCTTGTTGGTTAAGTGAAACTATGTTGTAATAATTAGTCTCAGATACTTAAAATCTTGAATAGTTATGATCTTTGGTTAAAGTATCCCCCTTGATTTTTTCCAAGTGTTTGCATATGTTATTTAAACATGTATGCTAAATATTGTGTTGGGATCTAATAATTACCAGGAATTGAGAGATGGATAGGTCTTGGATAAAGGATGGGAACAAGTTGTCTGAAGAATATAGAAATGGAGTTGATGAGTTCTTACAATTTTCTATGCTTAACTCAGAAAATAGTAGATCAATTAGGTGTCCGTGTAGAACAATTTGAGCAGGTTTCAAATTCAGTTGTTGAAATTTGGGCGAGGTAATAAGTTCCCGTTTGGTATATATTGCATTTAGTTGCATTCAAATCATTATTGTATTACAGTATTAAGCGGTAAGAGTATCTTATTATAAACATCAAAATGAATGAACTTAATTCAACTTGATGAGTAATAACTTAATAGGTACTTGCATGAGAGAATGGAGGCTGATGGAGGGAACATGCCAGTTCAGTTTGGTACTTCTGCTGCCATAACAATACCAAAGAGGGCATCACACCAAGCTGTTACTAGGAGGTCACAACACATAGCTGATCTTTTGGATATTTCCTTGCTTGGACAAATGACTTTAATCCCCTATAATACCGGGTAAGTAATCTCTTTTGCAAGTGACTTGTATTTTTGCAAACAATGGTGCTTTTCTAATTACATATAGTATCATTGTTATGTAGGAATCATTGGGTGTTGGTCGCCATCGACATGGCGGCTGAAACGATTTACTACCTAGATTCCTTGGGACGAATTCCATCGAAGGATTTGGAGGAAATCGTGAATCAGTTAAGTTACATAGGCCCTTTAAATGTAAATCTTGATTGCATGTACACTTTATGAGAAAATATCGGATCAGTTGAATTTTAATAATGATTGTGTTTCCTTTTCAGAGGAGTTGAGTGTGGTTACTTTGTGATGAAGTACATGAAGGATATTGTATCAGACATGAATCTTTTGAAACGCAATTAATTAATTAGTGTATCTTGTAATCATAGTAAGTGCTAATTAATTTAATTTTACATTGAAGTTCTGTACCGTCAAGGAGTATACTGAAGATGATATTTTACACGTGCGTGAGGAGTGGGCTTTGTATGCTGTTACTCTGATAAAAAAGTAAGTTCACATTTAAAATTTACCGAAAAATAAGTTTCATAATATATGGATGTAATATTATATTTTGTTGATATGTAGTGTGCAAGCGGATCCTACAAAGGCTTGATGATATGCAAGGGGATAACTAAACATTGGTACCTGTTGGGAATGTGACTTGTTTGTATTTTAGCATCTTCAATGATGCTTGCTAGTAGTTATTTTGCTGAATTCAATAGCCGGTTTTTTGTGGGAATATTGTTGGAATTTTGCTACATCTTTTATCCGGCGGTAGGACATGTAATTGAACAAGAATGTGAAAGTGTTACTTAATATTATATGTTAAATGATGTGTTTTGGGTATTCATTAATTTTTGGATGTTATGAGACAGATGATTGGTATCTAGTCTTTTGGATGATATAATATTTATGAATGAAGTAAACAGTAAAATCTAGGCATGTAAATCTATGATGCTGAAAGTGTCATAAACATCTGTGATGCTAAAAGTGTCATAAAAATCTATAATGTTAACGTGTAATTAAATTGTGCGATGTATTAATGTCACAATGTGTTCTTGATGCATAAATGTCGCTATTTTAGACGACAAATTAGTGTCATTATTTGCTGACACAAAACCGTCCCCTCTTCAGTGACACTATATTTAGTGTCGCTAGCCGCCACTTTCCCCGACGCTTTTTAAGTGTCGCAGAAAGTTTTAGCGACACTAAATTAGTGTCACTGTAGGCTCTTTTTCTAGTAGTGTATAAAAAAGACGGGGGAAGGGAGTAGTGGTCAAATTAGGACGCAACGGTCATCAATATATACTTATTTCCTCCTTAATGAGTCTGATATACGGAGCATATTAATCAGCCCCAGCTCTTACAATGATTCTTTGTACAGAAATTGCCCTAAATAGGAGTAAAAACGTTTTGAAATTCCAAAATAGGAGTATCATGTTTTTTATTCTCTGAATAGGAGTAATCTGCCAAGTTTGGAAAAAATGCCATGTTTAAAGCCTTGTAATTTCCAAAATTGGTATAAATTACTCCTACTTAGGGAATAAAAAACATGATACTCCTATTTTGGAATTTCAAAACATATTTACTTCTATTTAAACAATTTTCTCTTCTTTGTAATTAAGGATTCAGGACCATCAATAAACGGCCTTCAATCATCCCTACAAGATTATATTCTTGACAACTTGGACCGCGTTAAACTCATTCCCAACCGATCGATATCTATTATACTAGTATAGTATCCGTGCCATGCACGGGTAATACGGGAAAAATAAATATACCCACTTCGTCCTGTAAAACTGATCAAATTTCATTTTTCAACCTTCATCCCAAAAAGATTCGTCATATTAACTTTTCTTAATCAATGATTGTAAAGATAGAACAATGATTTTAATTATTATAACTAACTCAGGTAATTTTAATATTACTAGGCTCCGTTTTCAGGAATACACTAATTTTTAAGTGTAGTATTATATATTCAAAGTATAATTGAAAAAAAACCTTCTGGAGGTCTACCACGTAGGCTCTCCTCCCTATCAGTGCCCTGCTCTTCCTTCAATCACAAGTAAAGATTTTTTTGTCAAGCTTCATGAATGATTATTCATGAATGATTAACGATTAGTGAAGAATGCATTAATATTCTACTTATTATCTATTTATATTAGGAAAAATTCACATGAATAATCCCAACTATTAACCATCTTCTCACATTAATTCAAAGTATGAGTAATTCTAGTATAATCTAATCTATATAGGTAACCTTCTCACAACAAACCCCTGACCTGCTTATACCTATTCAGAGAGTCATGTGGACACATGTCATTTGCACCTTGGTTTTGTATGATTTTCATTTTCCTTTTATTTTTAAGGAAAAATTGATAGTAATAATCCCAACTATTGGCGGTCCGCTCATAATAATTCCAACTATTGATTATTACAGAATAATCCCAACTTTAGGGACCTTCCGCCAATAATGGTCCCTATGAATAAATTCTTGTAGTTTCTAAAGTGGATGGGGTGAGATATAACAAGTAATCCCTCTAAATAATCTCAACTTTTAATTTTTACGCTTAATTTCTATTTAAAATTCACTTTTTATAGAGGTAATATATGGTCATGGACCATTATTGGCGGATAGTCTATATAGTTGGGATTATACAAAAATAATCAATAGTTGAGATTATTTTCAGCGGACCGGCAATAGTTGGGATTATTATTTTCAATTTTTCCTATTTTTAATTTTGTTGCTACATTAGTACATTACGTTATTTCCCATGGCTTTCGTTCTCCTTCCTTGACTGTCGTGGGTTGCCCCTTACAAAATTTGGAAGATGGCCGGCGGCTGGCACTTAGAGAAACGATGAAGAGATTCCGTCCTCATCTATCTGTCTTCGAGATCTGGCTGACCCATCTTGTTTTCTATTTCCAATTCTCCGATCCCTTGCTGGGGAATTGGGCATCTAACAATTCTCTGGACATTTGGGGAAATTAAGAAGATAACAAAGTAGCCAGCAACGACAATAGAGAGAAGGAACGACGGATGGACTCCATCCCCTTCGAAGCCGCCTTGAAGTTCTGTGCCACCCCGCCGTTGTCGTCTGACTTGTCGCCGACGTCGCTCCAATGAAGAAGAAGATTTGAGAAGGAAGCTTGATGTGTGATAGAGTTGGGAATTAATAAGACCTTGACAAATCTTAAATTGGCTTCTAAATTTGTATCCCCTAGCCATCTTCTCATTAGCTTCAAGCTTGGTTCCGTCCAGTGCTTACTGCTAGACCTGCTGCGGAAAGAGAAAACATCCGAAGAATATACTCCGTCCGTATATACGTATGCTGCGGTATGCGTATGCATATACACTTTTAGATAATAAAAAACAACAATCTCAAGCTTATCACGTGTTAATAAAATATACTCGATCGTACCATATAATCCAATGTGCGTGTTTTCTATTGATTTGACCAAATACAGAGATAGATAGGAAATATGATAAGAAATATGCATTTTAAGCTAACTAAATGTTATGCAATTTGCCCATATAAGAAATTTGTTAAAATTATAATTTCACCTCCATACAAAAGCTAGCAATGTGCCCAGATTTTGAATTGGATCTTAGGAAGTACTTTCAGTAGTTATGTTCCAGATCACAAATATGAGAGTATTATCTTTATTCAATATAATAATCTTCTTTATTTGGAGCAATGTATTACACAATTTACACCTTTTAGTGGAATTCAAATAAGCAATTGATCATAAGCAGAATGGAATGAAAAAGTCAACATCTTAATCAGCCGGCCTTTAGAGTTAACTTAAACAATATACCTTAAAATATTTGATTTTTGAAGTCTGGTATATGTCTTTTGCCGGTGATTCTTGCCTTGAAACAAAATAGGGATTGTTACATTATTTACTTTAATCATATGGAGCACAGTGGTAGAAGAAAAATAGGATCACCAACCATAGAAGAATACATCGAGCCCAATCTGGGGACGTACACAACACAAATACAATCTAAACAATACCTTTGCTATTCCGGCGTTGGAGCGATGGGGCGGAAGTATTTGGAAAAAATTGCGATAGGAAATAGTTAAGTAGCCGATTGGCGTGCAACATATTAGCATAGAGAATTCAAAAGGCCGACCAATTTAATGAATGATTCAGACAGCATTATTGATTAATGTGTTATACGGAGAAGCTAGACAGCCTCATTATTACATTTATTATTGAGACTATTCTAGAATAGAAAACAACAATTAATAGACTGCCAACACGAGAAAATACAATCCAACAACATGCCTAAAAAGCTCTTAGAACGTATTTACAAACATGCTAACCAGTAATGGGAATGTTGCAATTGAATTACTTAAATCTAAATTAAAAATGATAAAGTGATGTGGTCCAATGAAATGAATGATAGGTACGGTACCCCATTTTTTAAAAGAGTACCGGAGTTGTACAGTACCCCATTACAAACATGCTAACCAGTAAAAAAAAGGATGACACCCCATCCCTGAGGGTCCCCAACACCGACCGGACGGCATCATGGGAGGATGTAACTTATCAGACAAAAAAACAGAAGTACGCTCAAACAATGATCCCAAATTAAGTGATGTTATTACTGTAGTTAAAATAATTAATGCCAAATGAAACTCCAGGGCCAGCCCAGAGCATGTGCTGGCAGTCCAACCGCACAGGGCCCAAAATTAGGGCCGGCCCAGGCTTACAATTCAGAACGGCCTTTCACCTCTTTGGAAGCCACTAATTAAGGGAGTGTTTGCAATTGCTTCAACTTTAAAAAAGTGATTTTTTAAAGTGATTTTGGGAAAAATGATTAATAGTAAAAGTTGATAGTGTTTGAGAAAAAAGTGATTCTGGAAAAGTAAAAGTTGGTAGTGTTTGGTAAAATAAGTACTTTTTGTGTAATAGAAAAAGTGAGAAGCAGTTTAAAGCACCGTTCTACCTGCTTCCAGCTTTTAGTTTTTAAGTGATTAATTTAAGCAGAAACTGTCATTTGAAAACACTCTTTTCAACTTTTTTTAAGTCAAATGCTGAAAAGCACTTTTTTTAAGCAAACTCAAACACTCCTTAAGGGTACAAGTAACCAATGTGGAATTGTGGATGACCCAATGAGAGAAGTCATTTTTATAAAACAATAGGCTTCAGGATTCTTTTTCATGATCGGTGTGGGAAACCAATTAGTACATGAAGACACAAAAACAACCTAATAAGCAAGGCTACGGAGAAGTCTATGGAGTGTATTTCTCGGGATTTGCACGCCAGGCTTCCAATGATGAGCAAAGCCAAGGATGTTTGCTTCAAATAAAATTATTCTAAAAATGACAAATATGTAAGTATTATTATTTTTATGAGAAATAATTACAAAATTATGATTAAACTAAACCATATTTATAAAAAGTGTGAGTTTTTAAACGTGGTGATTTATAATAGTAAATTTAATCACATTAACTAATATTCATCTTTTAAAATTAAGTGATAGTGACATAATAATAACGTTTTTTAAAAATGTCTGTATAAAAATTGAAATAAAATATAGAAATTAAAACATCTTTTCAGTCTGACCATACCTAAGTAAACTTGCGCAGTTGCGCCCTTTTAAAAGTTTGTACTTATAATTCACATTGAAAATATGTTCAAACACCTCTTTTAAAATGAAGGGTACTTTGTGAATGGATATTTTATTTTGTCTGTATTGTTAATTAAAAATAACTTGAAATTTGATATAAAGTATTAAGAAGTTATTACTAACATAGTGTACAATAAATTACGAATTACTTTGTAAATTTTTTACGTTTAAATAAAAGGCCTAATTTTCATTGTTGCACAGGGCCCCTATTTTACCAGGACCGGTCCTGTGAAACTCCATGCACAGATAAATATGGAAGTTAACGATAGGAGCGCAAAGTCAAAAACACTGATAAATACGGAGTAGAATCCTAAGTTTACAAGACAACCAGATATGCGGTCTTATCTATGCAGATTTTTTTTTTGACCCGGTTTTAATCCAAAGAATCCGAAGATTGTTTGGGGTAGGGGTCAGGGGAACACCCTACCTCTTTATTAAATTGAAAAAATTACATAGAGTAGGAGGACCAGACCAAGCCTACTCCAATTAAATTACATAAGGATAACTAATTGCATCAAACTTCAGAATTCCAACAAAATGTTTAAAATGGTGGGCATTTGTAGCAATGGAAATACTTCGGTAAGCTAGATAGTCGGCGGCAATGTTGATCTTTGGATGAGTGTGGACAAGTGTCCAATTGTAGCCGGAGAGTGCTCTTCTGATCTTCTGAATTCGAGGCCAATATTGCCAATGTTGAGCCGTAATTCCCATAATGCCTTCATAAATGTTACTATTATCCACCTCAAGAACAAAATTTTTATTTGTATTGTTAATGTTCATAATAGTGTGAAAGATAGCATCATAAGTGGCTTGAGTTTTGTCATCAGTAGTGGCTAAGAAAGTCATATGCCCGGTGTAATTGCCAAGATCATCTCGAAAGAGCGCTGCAGTCCTAATAAGAGTGGCATTTAGGTAACAAGTGGCAAAGTTGATCTTTTGGTAGGATTTGGGAGGTTTATTCCAAGTGGTAACACAAGGGATATTGGCGGTCTTTTTGGGCAGGATGGTGATGACATTGAAAGGAGATTGGTTGTTGCAGGATATGAAAGGTTTGGCATTAGAAATGACAAAAATATCAGTTTTTATATCTTTTATTGCCTCAGGAAAATAGGCTACTTTATGAAATGTATTTATAGTTCAGCTTTATGAAATGTATTTCAATACTGCCAATTGACAACATGTTAATTTTAAAAAAGAAAACTCATAGGGTTTCTGTTAGCAATACTTTTGTGAACTATCAACATTAAAACTTAGGTGACAACTCCGGTACCTTTTAAAAAAAATGGGTACTGTACCTATCATTTATTTCATTGGACCATATCACTTTATCATTTTTAATTTAGATTTAAATAATTCAATTGCAACATTCCCATTGGTTCATGTGGACTAAGGTATGGTACCTTATGAGTATCATAGAATCTACCTAAAGTTCTGATTAAGTCAAAACTTTAACAGTTAAGTTGGATGAATCACTTTGGATGGATAAAACTAAACATAAGAAGAGGCGTTGGGTTAACAAAGATCATTCAGAAAAATTATCAGATAGACAATAGGCAGTAAACAGGATGTAAGGGGTAAACGGCGTACCGGTAGGAAGACTGGAAGAGGACCAGGCCTCTTTTAAATGGAGAAAACATATTTCTAAAGGAATCAGGGGGGACCAATGAAGTTAAATAAAACCGGCCTCTACGATTTTCATAACTTGTGCTTCAGTATCAGTATAACAATAAGATAGCTCTATCCATTCAACCCATAATTGCCAATTAAGATTTAAGATAATTGTTTTTTGAAAATAATTATGATATTAAGATAATTGAATAATGAAAACGTTAATGCAATGTTACATGGGGCTAAAGAAGCAACATTTGGCCATTTATAGTCATAGGAATATAAGCCGTTAAAATCAACCCATAGATAGATAAAAATTCAAGAAAATTGAAATGAAAAGAAACAAATCAGATTACTTAACTAATTACGGAGTATTAATTACTATAACCAATTCATCTACATGGTCTTTCGATGAGCTATCCAAACTAAATGTTTAAATACAGAGAGTAATAGAGTTTGATGTCTATTCCGTTTTCGGTGCAATTTGTGTTCACTAAGATTAGAACAAAAATTACCTAATTAAAGAGCAAAAGTGGAAAGGGAGTATGGTTCCCATATAAAGGATATACAGTTGGAAAATCGGGGGCATCACCGGGTGCTTGTCCACTCAATTTCAACTGCAGGGAGGTAAGCAGCCGTCCAGGAACGGATTGCAAGCTTTTAGTGTCAATGTTGTAGAGAAATATCTTCCTTTGAAATCGAATTATAGCAACAGGAGCCTTGTTAGGAATCGGAAGGAAACCTTCTAAGATAATCCCCTTAGTACTTAAGGTGGCTTTGCTCCCGAGTGAACCACCACAGATATCATACATCAAAGTCCATTCTTCACTGCCATTTGGGAGCATGAAAACTCTCATGCTTTCAGTGCCTATGCAGCCGAACCACAAGACGTCGCCATTGTCAATGGATGATCTTGTCAGAGATGTGGATTTGAAGCCGTTATTTTCAATTCCTCCGTACCTACGGATCTCAATGACTTGTTCACCTCCGGGACGATAAAGTGCTAGTGTTAAGTCATAGCGGTAGTAATACCAATGGAAAACACCATTCATTACCAAAGGAGTACCTTTGAAAACAACAGGGAGGTAGGCTTCCGGATCCGCGATCAAAGTTGGGTGCACGGCAGCCCACACGCCTGTCTCCGAAGAGTAAGTCATGATCTGCACATCATGTTTTTCGGGTCCGAAAATCCCACCAAATTTATAATAATCAGTTCGGACGACGATGTACTTGGCTGTCAATTCCCTTTTGTTCTCTTCACACATCAGCGCGATGGTTGTGTCTGCATATCCTGAGAGTACTGTCGGGAGTGGTGGTAAAGACACCAACCTTTTCGTGAAGGGGTTCAAAACGTGGTACTTGTGACGCTGAGGATTGCCCCAAAGGATCAAACCATTAGAGGAATTTATAAACATGCCGGGTTCGGGTTCAAGTTCTTGAGACTGGTATTCAATGTTTCTATTGCCGGGACTATCAAGAGGGATCATCTTCAGCGTATATGTTCTCTTCTCTTTGTTTTTCTTTGTTCGTTTCTTTTTCTCCGTCGGCGGCCGGAAAAAGGCCAGCAACCAAAAACGTCCGCCGCGCCGTCCGCTATTGTATCTCTCGACGAAGAAGGGATCGGAAATCAAATGGTTCCATGATTTCGATACAACCCTGAATCTGAAAAGTGATTTCGGAGGCAAACAAAGAAGAATTCTTGTGATTATTTGCTCGTCCATGACAGACCACCTGCTAGAAAAGGAAGACTAAACTTTTAGAAAATATTCCGAAAATTCGTAAGGCGGCAGAATAAAGCTGGAATTTCCTTATTCAGAAAGTTATTTGGAATTTCCTTTTTAGATACTCCGTGTTTATTTGGGATTAAAATTTGGAAAGGGTACGGGCCCGGTTCGGGCCTGGGTCCGTCCGGGCCTCGGGCCGGGGAAGGGGAGGCCCGAGCCCGAACCGCCGGTGGCCGGTTCCGGTTCCGGGCCAAACCGGGCCGGGCCGGGCCGAACCGGCCCACTATATTTTTTTTTGTTATCCTATTTAATCCCCTACCCCTCCCCCTCAACCCCAAACCACCCCAAACCACCTCAAATGGCCCAAAATACCTAATCCAACCCAAAAATTAAAAAAATTTCAAAAAAAAATTAAAAAAAAAAATTATTCCGGCCCGGACCAGGCCCGAACCGGCCGGGCCGGTTCACCAAATATAGGGCCCGGGCCCGGAACCGGTAGCCACCGGGCCGGTTCGACCCGAACCGCCGGTGGACCGGGCCACCGGGCCGGGCCGGTTCACACACCCACCGGGCCGGGCCGGTTCCGGCCGCCCGGCCCGAGTCCAGCACTACTCTATACCTATTTAAAGTTTAAACAAGGAGAATTTATCCAAAATAGGACTAAAAAGGTTTCAAAATTCCAAAATAGGACTGTCATGTTTTTATTCCCAAAATAGGACTAATTACTGCCATGTTTTGGCAGTACCAGACTTCAAACATGACAGTATTTTCCAAACTTGGCAGTAATTACTCCTATTTTGAGAATAAAAAACATGACAGTCCAATTTTGGAATTTTCAAACCTTTTTAGTCCTATTTCGGGAACTTTCCCTTTAACAACCATACGAGAATTGAAATATAATGCCACATATCAAGTCCACAATTTTGATTCCAATTATCTAATTATAAAGACCATATTCTAAACTAAAAGTAGTCCAACATATGCTAAAACGAGGGGCGGAGCCAAGACAGTATAAAGGGGTGAGCCAAATTTGAACTATAAAAATTCACAAATATGGAGTATATATTTATTAATCAAATTAAGTTCAAAACAACTACAAATATTGTGTAACAAACATATCGCATGGTCATTATTTTCTATAATATCAAAATATGTAATATTTTAATACGGAGTAAATAATATTAGCAAGTAAATCTAAACCTAAAGTAAAGAAACAATTTAAATAATTTAATTTGTAATTTGAAGGCAGAAATCAAAACAAGTCTTACAACTATTAAGTCTAAGAGCCCGTTTGGAGACATCTTTTTTCGGCTTATCAGGTTTACCAGCCAGCTTTTTCACCAAACACGTAACTTTTACTTTTGTGTGCTGAATTGTGTAATAAGCAGAAAAAGTAAGGTTGGAGTTACTTTTTTGACTGTATTGGCTAAAGTTACTGTAGAGGACTATTTTAGCTATTTTTACATGTAATTTTTTCTATAATTTATGAATAAAATATATTTTTAAAATATTTTTTTCTTGAATCAGCATAATCAGCCAAAACAGCCACTTCAGCCAGAATTTCATAAATTTCAGCAGAATCAGCCAAAACAACTGATTTTCGTGCTACCAAACGGGCTCTAAATTTATATTTACGAAATTACAAATACATTATACTAGTACTACTCGAGAGGACATTTTCAGTTTTATATACTCTATGTCTACCTCTCAAAAAAAAAAATACTCTATGTCTATGAAAAGTGAATACAGATCGGATAAAACAAAAATTCTTAAACACATTCCAAACTTACACATATTCAATTTATTCGGACTAAAATAACACAAATCACGAACCAGTTACACATTAGCAAATTATTTTAGAAATTAGGGTTAAAATTTAGATTAAAGCCTTAGAAGAGAGCCAGGAATCATTGGAGTTAGAAAAGGGTGGTGTCCTGGACATGCTGTTGGCTTTGCTCTGGCCTCTGGGCACTGCTTCGCCAAATCGCTGGTGTCCCACACTTTTGAGTCTGAATAGTGGTCGCCTACTACCTTTCTAGTCTCTGCGTGGCAGCATAATCTTGATTCTTAACTCCTAATTATAATTAATTTTTTAGAAAAAAGTAAAACAAGCTAGGTAATTATTTTTCCTTTTCTTTTCTTTTTTCTTCTTTCTTTTCCCTTCCCAGTTCCCCCACACAGTTTCAGAGTAGCCTTTTAAACGTTTTAGTCTAGTTTTTGGTTTTACCTTCTTCATTCTCTCTTTCGTTTGTTCGCTAAATTAATTTTTTGTCTTCATATTTTTGTCCTTTTCGTTAACTGACATCTTTTTTATTTATTTTTTTTGAAATAATTACCTATACTACGTATTTCTTTAAAACTAATGTTGTTTATAAAAACGTGACATCCTAAGTGTAACGATTATAGTCATAACTTAGTCATAGTAACTACGGTTCAATCTTTACACCTACGATCTTTTTGGTTAAGGTGAACTTAAGTTAATCTAGTGTCATAAAGTAAACCTAGGTTTTAATAAAAACTAGGTGAACCTTATGGAACCTAGGTGCACATGTATAATGTTGTTTCGATAAAAAAACGAGTGAACCTAGATTATTTTTTTAACCCGGTAGACAAACCACCAATCGGTGGGGTAAGTGTCGAGAAAACATTTACCATATATTAAATGAACCTACGTTAATGTAATAAATTACTGTTTGGATAAAGGTGCTCCAACTCATTACTCACATATATACCATAAAAATAATTGAGTGGGCTTGTAGAAGCCTGGTAGAAGCTAAGTTAGGTAGAACCGCCCTACCACCGGAAATAAGTTTCTAGGGGGTGTTAAATCTAAGAACTCGTTTGGTACCATGAAAATCGACTGTTTTAGCTAATTCTGCTGAAATTTATGAAGTTCTGGCTGAAGTGGCTGCATTGGCTGATTCTGCTGATTTAAGAAAAAATTATTTTTAAAATATATTTTATTAATAAAATAAAGAAAAAATTATATGTAAAAATAGCTAAAATGGTCATCTACAGTAACTTCAGCCAATACAGCCAGAAAAGTAACTTCAACCTTACTTTTTCTGCTTATTACACAATTAAGCGCGCAAAAGCAAAAATTACGTGTTTGGTGAAAAAGTTGGGTGATAAGCCTGATAAGCCAAAAAACAGTGGTTCCAAACAGCTTCTGGCATCCTATTAATTAGTAACATCCTACTACGTATTATGGTCTCTCTGTCAGACGTAAAACACACCTATAGCACAGAAAACAATTTGGCAAGGAGGTCTATAAATCAAAGAATGCATTATTGCTGGTTAAGACTTTGGGTCATATAAATGAATACTCAGCAATCATAACATATGTTAAGTTTTAAAGACATTAACTAATCAAAAATCGTTTCCCTAGCATTTTTGGTAAATAAACAATACTCCCTCCATCCCTCCATGCTTTGTCAAGTTTGACTGACACTAGGATTAATAAAATTAAAACTGTGTGGTTGAAGTTTGTGGAGAGAACAGAGAATTAACTGGAATCACAAATTCTTTACAAGTGACAAAGTTAATGGGACATCCAAAAAGAGGAAATTCGCAACGTTATAAGGGAGGGAGAGAGTATTATAGTGCTAAGTCTATGTGTAATCTATATCTATCTCAGAAAACTAAATCAACAATATTACAGAGAAAAAGAGGTGGGGGGAAGAAGAATATATAGAGGAGGGCAGAGGGCTGGAGGGGCAAGAGAGGAAGAGACAAACCTTATGCTGCGGAGCTTCAGGAAAAGTGCTGCGGCGGAATAATTGAAAAGCTGGCAGACGAAATAGCTAGAGGAAGGTGGCGGCAACCTGCTGATAGAGGGAGCCTTGGAGGGAGTAAAGTGTAAATAAGGTGGAGTGGGGAAGCGGAGGTTTATAATTGGAATGCAAGAAAAAAGAGATAATACTTGAAATAGGATTAAAAGATTTGAAAATTCCAAAATAGGGTTGTCATATTTTTATTCTCAAAATAGGACTAATTACTGTCTTGTTTTGGCAGTACCAGACTTCAAACATGAAAGTATTTTCCAAACTTGACAGTAATTACTCCAATTTTGGGAATAAAAAAATGGCAGTCTTATTTTGGAATTTTCAAACTGTTTTAGTCCTATTTCGGGAACTTTCCCAAAAAAAAAAACCCTATAGGCAGGTTTTATTTTTGAGTTTTTGTAGGTTTGGAAAAGTTATTTGAGGTTAATAATCCAAATTTATTAATAATCCAGGTTTGGTAAACTCTGATTTATTAAGTTTAGTAAATCAGGTTTGGTAAACTCTGATTTATTAATAATCCAAAATTTTGTTGTAAATTTATTAATAATCCAGCCATCCAGGTTTGGTAAACTCTGATTTATTAAGTTTAGTAAATCAGGTTTGGTAAACTCTGATTTATTAATAATCCAAAATTTTGTTGTAAAAGTATAAACGAGGTTAATTAAAAAGTAAAGCTTTAATAATTTTGGTTAACAGAAGTGACTATAGTGATATTTTTGCAATTAAGTTTCAATCAAGTACTCCACCCGTCCCGGCAAATTACCATACATCATCAGGTGTAGCTATACACCCGGTATTTTTGTGATGGAAAAGTTTCTCAAATAGGACTAAAACAATTTGATAATTCCAAAATATGATTGTTATGTTATTATTCCCAAAACAGGAGTAATTACTGCCAAGTTTGGAAAATACTGTCATGTTTGAAGTTTGGTACTGCCAAAACATGGCGGTAATTTGTCCAATTTTGAGAAAAAAACATGGCAATCCTATTTTAGAATTTTCAAACTTTTTTAGTCCTATTTCAATTAATATTCTCTTTTTTAATACTTGCAAGTTCAAGCCTTTAATTTACATTGGGAAAGTTTCCGAAATAGAACCAAAACTGTTTGAAAATTCCAAAATAGGACTGACATGTTTTTATTGCCAAAATAGGAGAATTACTGCCAAGTTTGAAAAAAACTATCGTGTTTGAAGTTTAGCACTATCAAAACATGACAATAACTAGTCCTATTTTAGGAATAAAAACATGACAATCACATTTTTGGAATTTTCAAATCTTCTTAGGCTATGTTTGGCACACAAAAGACTCTAGCTTCTAGCTTCTCTATTCTTTAAAAAGACCTTAAAAGACTCTAGTTGTATTTTTGACATGACATTTTTTAAGAGCTTTTCAAAAATTAAAAGATCTTTTTTGAGATGCTACCAGGTGTAGCATCTGAGAAAAGCTCGTGACTTTTAGTTTAAATTAGTCCTAACAGCTTGTATACCAAACCGAACTAAATCAAACAGTCAGTTTTTTACCAAACAGCTATCACCTTTTCTTTTCAAGATCTTTTCAGTCACTAAAAGCTAACAATTACTAAAAAGCTCGTAAAAGTATCTTTTTAGCTCGTAACAGTTACTTAACAGCTATCACCTATTTCGGGTGATATTCTCATTTACGTATCATGCTCTTGTTCTTGAGCTTTTGTTTTTTCGTTTCTTCCGTACCCACTCCCCAGGCCACCTACGGAGTACTACGTACTCCCTCCGTAACACTCATATCTTCCCACTTTCCTTTTTTAGTTGCAAATCATATCTTCCCATTTCAAAATCTTCCCATCATACCTTCAATAATTTTAAAAATAATACACTATTACAACTACTTCTTTTGGATTTATCCTTCATTCCAACACACTATTTTATTATTTTCCCATCATACCCTCAATAATTTATATCTCCTATCACTATTCTTAATCTCACCTACTTTTGACATGGGAAAATATATCAGTTACGAAGGTAGTATTAGTCTATTACCTTTTTGTTTTCTCTTTGTTCTCTTACCAAACCTTTTCATTAATTCAATTCCAGGCCTTTGTTTTCATTTACGTAAAGTTAGTAATACCTTCTTTTTTTTTTCTTTTTGTAATCAACCTTGGTTATAATTTAAACATTTCTTTACATTGTGAATTATAAAATAAGTTATCTATGTTTTTTTTTCTATTTATAATTTCAGGATTAATATTTATCAATTTAATAGATTTTGTGTTAATTATTTTAAAATTGTGTGTTAATTATTAACATGAATTATGTGTTGTATTAAAATGAGTAAAGTGTTTCCTTCCAAAAAAATGAATACGACATTTAAAATAAATGTACATGAGTAATGTGCATGAGTATACTAAAAAGAATATGATTAATTTTATAATTGAAGAACGATAATTATAAATTATTTTCAAAATAAAATTTATTATATTTCTCATTTTTATATACGGGAGTATAATGATAGTTTAGTCAATTGTTAATAATGAATATATTATATGTGCATATTATAGAAATGAGTTTTATGTTAAATTCAAACGGATATATCGCTTAAAAGAAATGAACATGCCCAAATGAGCTTTTGAATTTTTGAAAACTCATTGTGTAAGTTATGTATGTCCATTTATTACCTTTGTTATGTTCATTTAAAATGATATATTAATGCATAATAATTTCAAAAGTCTTGTACTACCTCCGTCCCTTTTTTATTGGGATGAAATAGTAATCTTGAGCTCATTGAAAATGAGTCATGCTAGAGGTACATACACTCTTACAAAAAATCTTACAAAAGACCTATGTGGCAGTATCACATTTTTAACACATGACATCGCTTTTGCATCAAAAGTTATTACAATAGTCGCATCACATGTTTGTAAGTTTTTTTGCAAATCTGTTTGTACTCTTAGCATTTTCCATTGAAAAATTAGAGCCCAACTAGCTAATTCTATTTGCAGCCACGTTTTTATTATTCACAGTCACAATATTTTTAATTACCTATACTACCCTCCCATTCAAGCATCGGTCTTACAAGAAAATCATGAAGGCGGAGTCGAGTTCCGGTTTCGAATTCCGGTTTCGTTTTTACGAAGATCGGTGCTTATTGGAGTTGGTGAAGGCAAATGAAGGCGGAGGACTGGGTTCTCGTTTCAGCAGTCTCGATCGCGGCTTGGTCTCGGTTGGGACTCAGGCGAACGGACGGCGCAAGATTGAGGGCCAAAGGTCGTTCATGGTGGAGATCAAAAGGTCATGGACGAAGCGTGGGGCTAGGGGCTGGATCAGATCTCGATCGGAGGCAAGGAGCAGAAGATGATTCAGTATTGTTGGACCGTCTCCCTCCTGAGCCGCCGCCATGGAGTGCGGGAGAGTCTAGGGTTTGGAAGCAGTATTTTAATTTTATTATATGCTGGCTTTTTAATTTCCATGGACATACTCTTCTGTTTTACTTGTATTGTCTCCTTTGCTGTAAGACTCTTGCATTAGGTTTGGGATGGAAGTTCTGCGGTAATCATCATTGGCTTTAAGTTGCCCAAATTTGGTCTGGCGAGTTATACTACTTTTGGACAGGTAGTTAACTCTCAATCTCGGCCACGGGCGGATGGTTACATGTGGTTCTTTTATGTTTCTGTATCCTTGTTGAATGTTATTTCTATGAATTAAGTCCTCTTCAAGCAAAAAAAGAAAAACGTGAAGGCTAGAATTCCAAACAAATGTGCGGCAGATTCAAATTTAATTCCGAACAATTCCGAACACATTTGCTTCATACAACTTGGATCACTTGGCAGCAAAGCTCAACAACCACCGGAGAGTGCTTCCACAACTACCTTTTAATCAACATACCGATATACGTAGTACTACGTATGAAACATCTTTGCCGAAAGGGTTTTAGCCCTTCAATTGAAATTATAACAAGTTCAACATCCAACTGGTTCAAGACAATCATATATTCCATACACTTTATATTCTTTATTTTACTTCTATGCCAAATTCATCGTTTCTAATATCCAAAGTTTCTGTGGAGCTTTCAGATCTCGGGACAAAACTTCAAAACGTAGATATGGAAAGTTCAGGTCAATCCCACAGGGAGTTTGGATGATTAACTACTAATTCTCAAGTTATTAGAATCAAATATTTTTTAATCGAAAGAAATTAAAAATGCAAAGTATATATTATTAAATAGATTAAAGAGTAAATAGAGATTTAGATTATAAAAATAGAGATATCCAATTCCAAGTTTTAACTCATGTAAGTTCAATCGATCATTGACAAAAGTAATTTATTCATCATAATAGTTGGCGTATTATACCTAAAAGTGACAAACGCCGTCAATTAAGTCTAATTAATTCTCAACCTTAGAACAAACGTTTAAGGTTCAAGGCTCAATCGCATTAATCTAGCTTTGTGAATTTTTAGCTAACACGAATAATATTTCCCGAACGGGTGAATATTCGATTCGTATCTATATTTTTCTAGATGGTTCGTAAGCACCTAGTTACTACTATAATGAACCCAAATTTCAACAAATCAGATTTCAACTAGCAATAGACTCACAAGAATAGTAAATAAGTATGCATCCAAATTAATTAATCTCATGAATTCAACTGAAATTGATTCACATAAATACAGAATACTATGACAAGTAAATCATTTAGCCCAAAAATATCACGAATTAAACTACAGAGTATTAACTTGGAATTGGGAAATCTAAGGGTTTAGCTACTAATCTATTATTCATCTACAATGAGATGCACGATGGATTATCAATGTATAAGTATACATATAAGTATACTTATATGTATACTTATACTACAAATATATAAGTATACATATATACTTTTTCTTAACTTATACTACAAACACTACAAAAAAACAACGATTTTGGTACGGATTAGGCACGGAGCTTTGGCACGGATTTGCCAAAATTCATAGGGTATTTGGCACGGATTTGGCACGGATTTGGCACGGATGCATCAAATCCGTGCCAAATTCCGTGCCAAAGGCATTTAGTCACCAGCTAATTGGCACGACGCTGTGCCAAAAATAAGTTACGGTTCGTGCCAAAGTCGCCCAATCCGTACCAAGTCCGTGCCTATTTTGATGTTTTTTTGTAGGGAAATATACTTCAACATACATATGTGTGTATACAATAAATCATAAATTCTTTGATCTTATAATATATGAATATATATTAGAATGAGATGCACGACGGATTATCAATGTCTTCTTTATATATAGAATGTTAATACATTTATTCAATTAATAATATAATTAATTAGATTAACTATTCATGTTTGAGTAATTTTTCCTTAATTTTTCAAATTTTTAGCGTATCATGAATTTGATTTAATATATTGATTTTTAATTATTATTTAAAGATAAACATAATGCAGATTCAATTGGTAACAACTTCCCACAAATAAAAATACAAACTAGATACAACTCCCCGCATGGGGCGGGTCATGGGTCAACAAGTTTGGACCCGTGCAGGTCATGGGGAGGGGCGGACCCGCCCCGCCAAGTCACGGGGCGGGTCCGAGTCTTGCAATACCCGCCCCGCCCTGCCCCGACCCATTGTCATGCCTAGAAACCACAGCTTCTTTCTCTATTTCTTTCCTTATTTCTTGATGCGTTTGTTTTTCCCCTTTCTGATCGTTGCTTTCCTCCTTGGAATGTGACTTTTTAGTTTTCTGCAAGTTAAAAAAAATTTGAAGGGAAAACTGTCAAATCAGTCCGCGTACTATTATGAAAAAGTCAATTGAGTTCATGTACTATTTTTTCAATCAATTTAGTCCACCGAGAATAAAAAAATGATCAAATTTGCCTTTTCCCAAGTAATTGATCCGTTTGCCCGTTAATAGGCCTACGTGGATCATCTAGGTGGCTTTTTTCCATGTAAGCGCTTATTTGACCATCCTTGTGGCATTAAATTATCTTTTTCCTTTTTTTTATTCTTTCTTCTTCTTCAAACTTCCGTTCCTGCAACTCTCCTTCACTTCCCTTTTTCTAGTTTCTCCTCTTTTCTTTCTTTATTCTCTCCTCTTCTTTCTTCCTTCTCCCACCTCTAGCTTTCCATCTTTCTGCCACCGTCCACTCTGTCGCTTCCATCTCGGTCGAGCTCCGCCGCCGACGTCAAGTTCTGCCACCGCCGCCGCTGTCAGCTGGTTGCCATTGAAGAAGAGCAGGGGTCGCCTTCGGGTTGCCAAATTCGCCTTCTCTAGTCTCTAGCCATGAAAGAAGGGAGGATAGAAAGTTGGGTGAGGTAGAGCTGTAAAAGAAGTAGATTGGAGAATTGAAGAAGGCGAAAAGAAAGAAAACGGATAGAAGAATATGGGGGCTGAACTACTGGGCAAGAATGAAGGGAGGAGGATGTTGGGTAAGGATGTGGGTTAGAAGAAGTAGAGAAGAAGAAGAGTGGATGAGTTGCAGGGAGAAGAAGGGGAAAAAGGAAAAAAAAAAAAAAGGAATGAAGAAGGGGGAGTTGCAGAGCGTAGAGTCGGTAGGGACGAACAAGAGAAAAAAATGAAGAAGACAGAAATAAAAAAAGAAAAGGAAAAAAGAAAAAAAACAATACAAAATAGCCAAGTGGAATCCGCATCGGCAAATATAAGGGCCACCGGTCGTTTACCGGTTAAATGGTAAAATTGGTGAAAATTTGACACTTAATAGACTTAATTGATTGAAAAAATAGTAGATGAACTCAATTGACTTTTTCATAATAGTACGTAGACTGATTTGACAGTTTTCCCAAAATTGAATCCTTATCTAACCAAAATAAAGTCACGTGCAGTAAGTTTAGATTGGAAAACTAAATTAATTTACTTGGTCTAAAAATGTCAAATACTCAAGCTAAGAAAATGACTTGCTCCCTTTAACCATTATATTAAAATAAAATAAATTAAGAAGCAATTAGAGAATAAAAGCACTTTTTGGAACATCTTGCATAGCTAAAAATAGCAGCTGATAAATGCCCAACAAATTCCCTGTGAAAAACCTCGCAATCTACGTCTGGGCCAAGTGTAATTGGGCACTAAATGTAATAGGATATTCAGTTAGTGGAAATCCATTTGAAATAGGTTGGGACTGCATGTAGGAGGATTAAACCGCATCTTAATCAACATATATCTTGTGTTACTTTTTATATTCTGCTCCCAACACACACTTCAATTCTCACTCACCTTCACAACTTCACAGCAAAACAGCTTGGTCACTAAAACTTTCCAATTCACTATAAGTCAACTATTTGTTTTCTGATCATCAAAGGGACCTATTTCTATAGGTCTAAATTCTTCATACTTATGTGTTAAGACTAGTTCTAAAGCTTATCAATGTGTTAGAGTATAGGTCATTGCTATATTTTAACTAATTGAAGTAGAACCTTAATTAAATTCAGCAGCCTGCTCCTAAAGGCCGGTTTTTGCAGCCAGCTCCTTCAGATTTCGACAGTCTGCTCCTTGAGTTATCTGTTTCTGGAAATCACATTTGTACCACGTTTCATCCATCTTCTCACAACTAAAAGGGTCATAACCTTTGTTTCATTTCTATAAAGTGTCACACTCTTGAGGTCAAGATTTCCGCTGCATGATTCAATATCTCCCAAAAGATATTGGGACTCATTCTGTTAGAGGAAAAAGGGCTGAAAATGAAAATATTTAAAAGTCTATTCATCCCCCTCTAGACTTTTACCTCACTTGGGATCCATCAGACGCACAGCTGGGCGGAGCTGGAATTAAATGTTTGGGGGTGAGAGGGGAGAAAAACTCTATATATATATATATATATATATATATATATATATATATATCAGTATTTAATTAAGTTTGATTGTAGTGATTAGGAAAGGCAAACAAATGCCAGGAAATGAAACTTTCTATTACGTTTGGTATACACAATTAAAAGGAAATTGAGTATATGATATATATTTTTAATATTGCTTGCATATATTAGATATGTTACTCTCCAATATAATTGTAAAAACAGCCATTTAGGGTGAATTTGATCCAATGTCAAATTCTATCAATTTAATAGATCTCATCCTAAAAAAATGATTATAACAACATTCAACCTCAATCTCAAAAGATTTTGGGATCGACTAACATTAATCGATCCATAATATCATCAGAATCAAAAGAGAAAAAAGAAGAATAAGAAAAATAAAATAAGATAAATCAGATAACATAAAGTTAAATATCTTTCAAAAAAGATTAAGATAAATCTATGGTAACAATAACAAAAAGATAAAAGAGTGTAAGAAAGATAGAAGATAGAAATAACATAAGTATAAAGAAAGATAAAGAAGATAAATGATAAGAGAGAGAGAGAAGATAAAAAAGAGATCACTCATCCATGCAAATGTGCACCATCTATTTTGCTCTTTCTAAAGTCATACTCTCATCTAATCCAAATATTCAAAAATGACTAAAGTAGTAATAAACTTAATATATGTCTATCGATTCCAATCATAATACTATTATGTTACTTTTATTTAATATAATATTATAATAGTCTATATTGCATGTGTAGTACAGTAACATATAACTAACTACTATACCCATACATAATTAAATCAACATTGTACTAAAATTACAAATGAAAGAAAAGTTTAAAGACCCTTCACAATTTCACAAACGAACTAAAAGAACATACGAATAGGTAGATTATGAACTACTGGAATATCCTTCACATCTTCAAATCTTCAATAAAGTATTAATATAAAAAATTATGGATATAAAGTATACGAATGTAAATTTTAAAATTATATTGATGTTTTCATTTATTTTTTTAATTTTAATATTTATATACTTTATTTGGAATTTTGTATTTTTTTTCTATTTTTATATGTGATTATTACTATTTTGGTACTTTTTATTAGTTTAGGGGGTGATTTGAACATTCTGTTTTCATGTATCAGTTTACCGAGTGACGTGGCGGATGACCAAAGTGTGACCCGTCAAAAAATGAAAATTGAATCATTTTTTACCCGTTCAGGACCAAAATTCAACTTTTTTGAAATTCAATTGAGCAAACCCTACAAGTATAAGATATATTTAGCCATTAAGCCAATTAGAATAGATCAGAAAAAACAGACCGTACTAGAAAACTCAATCAAATTCAAAGTAATCTTAAAAATCTCATCACAGAGATTCTTTACAAATTTAGTCAGATTTTTATCCTAAGAGCATCTGCAATGCTATAACGTGCACGGTGCACATGTGGCATGATTGATAGCCACATAAATATTAACAAATAAATTATCTCTCTCCTTATTTGAATGATTTTATACAATTTTGGTAAGTTTTTCCCTGCAATGTCAACAACAATGTCAACATCTAGACGGTCTCCTTGATATTGTGGAGAAAAACTTACCAATACTGTATAAAATCATTTAAATAAGGAGAGAAAGAATTTATTTACTAATATTTATGTGGCTATCTCTCATGCCACGTGTGCACCGTGCACATTGTACCATTGGAGATGCTCTAATAAATGATGTCAACTTTTGTTAAACAGCCCTATGCATTTTTCAACATAGTAACCCCTCATCGTAGTTGCCGGGATTCGAACCCGAGACCTAACCCTCGTGGCACTCCCTCGCTACCAGTTGAGCTACGCCCACCGGTTTGAAGGATTCTTTATGTATGTGTGTGTTTTATGTATACGTGTTTGTATAATGAAATTAAAGCTCTATTGATGCAATTCGTATTCACCAAGCTCTATTGATGCAATTCGTATTCGACTTTTATTTTCAGACACACGATGTCACGATTACATGAGAAATAATAAAACTTACATACGAAATACAAATATAGAACTATATGAATTGAAGTGCTAAACTAATTTATCAATTAGAAGATCGATCAACTAAAGAGCGAATGTAGAAAGAGATGAAGGCGGTAAATAAGGATAATGAGCTATAAAATCCGGACCACAGATGACTTCATCCCACTTGGTGATAACTGGACGTCCATGATATGGCAGGGATTGGACGGCTTTCGTGTCCACGTCGCAAAGAAATACCCTCCCTTTTTTTTCCATCCGGATTAGGGCAACCGGAGTCTTCTTATTATTCACCGGAACCAAGCCATTCAAAAATATCCTAGATGAGGACAGTAAGGCCGTGTGATCCCCGCGGAGCGATTCAACAGTGATAGTGTACACTGAGACCCACCCTTGACTGCCTTTTGGGAGCATGAAAACTCCCATGGATTCGCCAAAAACGTCAACAAGGGCGAACCATAAAACGTCACCATTTTCAATGGGTGATCTTGTAAGAGCCCCGGAGCAGGTGGAGTGACTTCCAAATCCATCGTAGCTCCGGAAATCTAAGACCGCGGCTTCACCATCGGGGCGGTAAAGTGCTAGCGTTAATGTGCCCGTTTCTCTCGAGTAATGGTACCAGTGGAAAACACCATTCATCACTAAAGGATGATGTTGGAACACACTATGGAAGTCTTTTTCTGCGGCGGTGCCGATCGCCCGCAGTTTGGCTGCCACCCAGACCCTTGTCTCGGAAGAGTAAGTCACAATCGGGAAAGTAGCCTTTCCGCTTTCGTTGAGGTAAAGATAATCAGTCAGGACGACGATGTACTTGGCTGACAGTTGGCTTTTGTTTTCTTCGCACATCAACCCGACGGATCTTTCTGAAGGCCAGGACAGCGGTGGCGGTGGCAAGGAGACCAACCTTTTTGTAACAGGGTTCAAAACGAGGTACTCGTACTCCTTCTCATTACACCGACGACCTTTGCAGAGGATCAAACCGTTAGAGCTATTTATGAACCTGAGTTGTCCTGGAAACATGCGGCTGACTTCAAGTTCTAGAGAAGGGTATTCAAGCAATTTCTTGCGCTTCTTTGGTTGGCAGAAACTGCAGGGGCAACTGATATCTTTGAATACTGATAACAAACCTACACCGTCCGGCCGCCGTTGCTGTCTGTCGTATTTCTCTATGAAATAGGGATGAGAAATCAACTGGTTCCATGATTTTGATACAGCCCGGAATCTGTAAACCGATTTCGGCGGCAGACGGACAAGAATTTCCGCAAGTATTTGATCATTCATGACAGACACAATAAACACGGGATTTGAAATCATCTCCGTATGTATGTTCTTTATTACTGTAATACTTGGTCCGTGTATGTATAAGTGCAGAAAACTTCCAAATATGTAAGCTTCCAAATATACCTAATTCCTTATTCTAGGAGGAAAAGATTATACATTCGTGATTGGTGGTTAAATAATGGCAAAGTTATAAGGAAACCAGAGGTAATTTTTTAAGTAATACGATTTTATGATCCTAATTTAAGGAATATACGGATTATCAAAATTTTATTTTATCCTAATTTAAATTTGAAATAATTATATAAATATGACCAAAATAAAGATGGTTTACAAAAATATGACTAGTTACTAGAGTAGTAATAAAATCATAGTAAGGATGTTTTCTTTTGGACTGAAATTTGTTGGTCTGGTCTGGTCTGATTTGGACTGGTCTGGTCTGGTCTGGTAAACGTCTGGTATCAGTGTATTTATAACTACGGAAGTCAAGTCTGGTCTGGTTTGGTCTGATTTGGTCTGGTCTGGTCTGGTGTGGGACTGAAAATAGTCCAAAAGAAAACATCATAATTCATGTTTAAGTTTTGAACTTAAGTTACCACAATACTACGTTGTAGTAATGAATAGTCATACTTATGTAAATAAGTTTTATTTTAGTAATATTCTTGTAAAAAACTCCCAAAATGGTTATTCACACTAATTACTTAGGGATAATTACTATTGACCCCAGAGGTAATGTCAAAAGAGTCCGGCTCCTCTCTACTGGATACGGTACTAGACATCTCCAGTAGATTAAGGGGCCGTTTGGAGCACCCAAAATAGGCTGATAAGCCTTAAAGTGCTTAAAAATCTCCAAACACCTACCAAATTGGCTACTTGAGCTGATTTTTCTTATCAGTTGAAAAAACAAGTGATCCCTTACTTTTCCAGCTGATATGTATTATTCTACTGTTGGCCATTGGAAAGTCCTCTTCACCCCGCAAGTATTTTTCTTATCCCAAGCCATTCAACGCTTCAGCTTGCTGGCTCACTTTGCCGATCTGCGTTTCCTTCTCTTTGGCTGAGAAAAACTTCATTTCCAGATTATCTATTCACCTTGTGCATAATCTTTCTTGGATTTGGCTTTGATTCATCCATTATATATTAGAACTGAACCTCTCAATTATCATTCGCAAATGATAAAAGTTTCTGTTTTTATGTTTTCAATTGTTCTGAATTTTTGTAAATGCGTCCAAAGAACTCCTTGATACGGAGTAACTAACATCTTCAAACCAGCTTTTTCCCTTTTACGAGCTCCTGAGATTCTTCAAGATTTCCTGATTTTATGATTTTATTTTCTCTTAAAAAAATCCATTTTTTAGTCAGAATTGGAAATATCAAATATCACATGAGTAGGCTATGAAAAGAAATTCCATACATCGGATGTTGAGCTTTCATGAAGAAGGATGTATTGCAATTTCAAGGAGAGAACTAACACATTCGCAGTATAATAGTTTTACTCTTTATGGTAATTTTACCTTCAATCAGCCATTTCAGTCAATATATTACCGAACACTTTCACTTCACCAAATTCAGCCTATTCAGGCTTTTCAACCATTGCAGCTGTTACCAAACGGGCCCTAAATGGGATGATGCCATATGTCCACTTACTAAGACAACTGCACTCCTCTTTTCTGTCCAAACCATCTATAGTAAAAAATCCACACGAGTAACCATTCTCGGTTTTTTTACAGCCTCTCCTAATTAGATTTATTTTTTGATTCTTCACTAGTGGAGGATAGAGAAAGAATGCTTTGAGCTCTACAACAACAAAACATAACCTCTTTCTTCTTCTTCTTCGGCATATCTATTTGTTCAAGCTAAAAATCTCAAACGATCCATTTTATATATATTTCGTTTTATACCTAAAGGCAATTTTCATTGGATTGAGTTTCTGAATAATGCATGTTAAACAGAGTCCGCATTCATATTAAACATTCTTGTTCTGGAAAAGTATTAGCTTCAATTTAGTTCCATTTGATTTGGAATTTTATATATTTTTTTTTTATTTGATCAAGTTCTATATTATAGAATTAGAAGAAAATGAAAGTAGTAGTCCATTCATCTTCTTTTTTTATTATTTAAATAAAATGTAAAAAGAAATAAAAAATATATAAAAAAGTAATAAAATATAGGTTGTAGTGAAAATGTAAATGACAAATAAGTTGTGATAAAGTGATTTCATGCAGTTAGAAAAGTTTTTGATATGATCACTAAACTTTATTTGAAATGTGGCATTGATGATTTTTACTAAGTATGAATCATGTTGGCCTAAAGTCGGAAGAGGTTTAAAATATAACAAAACTTCTAATATGTGGGATTAACTTAATAGAAGGAAAACTTTTGTTCTTGAAAAGAATATATACATGAAAAATTTTGTCAATTCGTGATAGACGGATAGACCTTTTGCTTTTTTGTACTACAATATGATAAAAGTTAGATATATAAAATCATACTCCCTCCGTATCACTTTATTTGTCTCATTTGCTTTTTCACGTAGTTTAAGATAATTACTATATAAAATCATACTCGCGCCTCATCTCGGTTCCTCCATCGCCAGATCTGCTTAAGCTCCATCGACTCTCCATCGAGCAGACCATATCTACCTCCAGACTTCTCCATCGTGTCACCACCATCACCAGACCGTCGTTGCCGCCTCGACACCATCTCCGTTGATGCACTCAACCCATTTGATGCCCTCCCAATTCGCGTGACAACGAAGACCAGATCTGAAATCTTTGATTTTTAATACCTTAAGATCTCTGGAAGTGGTTAGCCGGGGTGGGGCGCTAGGCATAGGGGAATCGACAGAGGTGGGGTGAGGGTGGGGCTGGTTGTGGCAAGGAATGACGGAGGCGACATTGTGCAGGGGTTGGTCGGCTGAAAACGGTTGTTGAGTTCATTGTTAGGGCGGGGTAGGGATGGGGGCCACTGGATTGGCACAAGTGGCAGTCATTGGGGCCAGATGGCGACGTCGGTAAACGAAAGAGGTGGGCGGGCAGTCACTTTGGTCGGGGACGGCGACAGTCACTGGCGGACAATCACTGGGGAGGAGTCACTATGGCGGCGGGGTGACGGCGGAGTCACTATGGAAGCGAGTCACTGTGACGGCAGATTCACTGTGGCGGCGTGTCACTGTGACGGCAGGTCACTGTGGCGGCGTAGTCACTTTGACTGGGAGTCGATTTGCATTGGTAGGTTTGATTGTGATGTTAGGTCACATTTTTGTAATTTTGAAAAAGATGTCACATTTTTGTCTTTTGTCTTTTTTTAGTAATATGACTAATATCTAGGCGAAAAGGCCTTAATTAACACCCCAAATTGGAGTGTTTTGGAGTGTTGGACAAATCTTGGCCTCTCATTATTGTAGTCCTGCCTTCACTGCTACTTCCTGCACCTATTTTACACGAATAAGGTCTAGAACACTGCATTTTCTCTCAAACATGTTCCTAATTAGCTGATATTCGTGTAATTTTCGATTGTATGTTTGTATTTTTAACTAGCTTTTATTAGTTCCAGTCGTGGAAATTACACGCTTTTGGTGTAATAGTTTATTTTCATAATTATTTGTAAACTGTTTAGATTAGGACTTTTCTAAGGTAAACAGGCCAAAGATCATCCAAGGGAGCAAGATTGGACCTTAAAAGATCAAGGAAAGTGCAAGGAGGAAGGAATGATTTCGATTTGGAAAAATACTCATGTACCCAATTGAGTATTGCCTATACCCGATCGGGTATTTGCTTGATTCGATTGTCCAAATCAAATCCGAGAACAAATGATCGTAGAAGCAGATTTTCGTGAAGATTTTGTCAAATACCCGATCGGGTATGTACCCTTACCCGATCGGGTATGACCAGAAAAGTGATTTTCTGGGCCATTTCCTAAGATACCCGGCCGAGCATCCTATATACTCGGTCGGGTATCCTATATACCCGGTCGGGTATCAGACCCTACAGCTCCCAAAAGCCTATAAATACACCCTTTTCCTTCACAATAAAATCACTATTTCACATATACTTTTAAGCTCAGTTTAGACAAGTTATTTCTTTATATTTTCTTCATGTTTAGTCTCCAAATGAGGAGTTAAACCCTTCCATCTTGGTTTTGCTACTTTGAAGCTTAATGAATTGTAAGTTGTGAGTTATTTTTCTTTAATCTTCTTCCTTGAATATTAATTAATTCTTATTCCTATTTCATATTAATATTTTGAGCATTACTTACAGGATCAACTAGTTTTGTTTTATATATTAATTATTACCAGATTCAATCGATTAATTCGCTTGTTATTAATTTGGTCCTTTCACGGTAGTAAACTTTGGGTTATTAATGCATGTGTCTCATGGTTAATAAACCAAAGGGAATTAATTATATTGATTAAACTAATAAACCGCTTGTGTTGAGGTTATCAATCTTAATCGTTTTCGTCTTGATTTTATTGCTACCATCGGGTTAATATAAGGCGTGTGTTCTATATTAACTCGGTAGTTAGTTTTATTAATGAACGCGTCTCGTTATGAATAACTACCCTCGATGAATTGGATATACTCCTCGATTGAGTATTCGATAGGAAGATAGTTAAAGATATAACCAGGATCGACGAACATTTCATTAAGTGGATAAAAGCAAAACCAAGTCTTCATCTCTATTAAGTAAACCACATAAGTCGTTCATCTTAGTGTGAATTAAATTTAATCAAATCAAACTTAAAAACCCCCCTTTATTACTAGTTACATAAAAAGAGAAGTATTCATTTCCCTGTGGATACGAACCTTACTTCAATATACTACGTAGAATTGTTGTATTGATGATTATTTTGAGTGCAGACATGACAAAGTGCACGTCAAATTTGGCGCCGTTGCCGGGGAAAGGCAATAATTTATTTTTATTTCAAAACAAATTAATAAAAAATATAAAATAAATTACTTTTCTATTTTCTGAGCTTACATGAGTATATGGATACCAACACATCATCCCTAGAAAGTCATATTTCCATATTGGCTTCTCTAATAAATGAGTTTATCTTATGCTCAAAAACTCAAGATGCCAAGACCTACAACATTTGCATGTCTGACAGACATCTTAC